CAGAATGGGAGAAGGTTCAGGCGCCTGCCATGTTGCAGGGGAGGTTGGTAAGGGTCTGTGCCCCACCTCTGTTGACCCCCAAGTTCTCTCCTGATGGCCCCTCTGCGACTGTGCCTGTCTTAGGTTGTTCTTTCCTTGAGGAATCTTACCTGTCTCTGGCTAACCAGCCATCCTCCGGGGCAAAGCAGGGTGATGTGAGGTTTAGTTCTGTCTCCTTGGTAGCCTATGCCCCCATGGGCTCCATACCCAGCACCTGCCTCGGGAACCCCTCACCTGCTGGCGAGGCCCAGGCATTGATCTCATATTTTTGGGAACCCATGTTTCTTTTCCAGAGAGGGCCCAGCTCCCCACACTGGGCGGGCAAAAGATCCGTGGTACCAGCCACCATGGTGCTTCAACCTTGGCATGAACTGAAAGATCAGGCAACAATCGTGGGCACCTGGACCATAAGAAGAAGTTCATTTTTGGCCAAAATGGCAAGATGGGCCAATATAGAATGCTCAGGTGCCTTCCCAGGGGGCCTTCTGCATAGTGGAAAAGATGAAGTCCTTTCATGTCGTTTTTAAATTGCTGCCAGACATGTATGTTTGTTTGGGAAAATTATACAATGTGCTGTTGTAATTCTAAAATATTTAGAGCTGTGTTATCTTTGTCTCCAAGCATCAGCAATATATATATATATTAAAATAAAATAAATAATTTTTTATTGATACCCCATGGTGTGAGGTACTATTATACTATTATAGGTAATGGGGATAACCCAGATGTGGGAAAAACTATAGTGACCTTGTGGAATAATATCATGTAAGGATATTCTTTGCTCTAGGCCATGGAAATTCCATTTTAAACTGGCTGTCAATTTCTTTTTGTATAGATAAGGTCTTTGTTTCATTTTCTACACCTCTCCCAGGAGGAAAGAGTGATGATCCCTTCCTTTGGTGTCCTCACCAGCTAGAAACCTCTGTTTAATTTTACACACAAAGAAACAGTGGTTTAATTTTTTGTCATACAGAAGGGGAGATGGGTGGTGATCCCTATATAATTATCCTTTTTTGTCCCACCTGTGGTCCTCCTGGATGACCAAGGTGTTTGGTGTCATCAGTGACTACTTTGGGAAGGAGGATCAGCCAGGTAAGGGTTCTCACCAGTGAAGGATTAGGAGTTTAAGTCCAGAAATACTTAACCAATAGCCCTAGGTTATATTACTGTACAGCTGATGCCTGTTAGCATGGCAGTAAAGGCGTTCTCAGATATTCTTGGGGTTATGGTTACCTCACACTTCTTTCTTTTCTTTCTTTTCTTCCTCTCTCTCTCTCTCTCTCTCTCTCTCTCTCTCTCTCTCCCTCTCTCATAATAATAATATTATGTGTTCTTATCCCCCCCTTATCCTCTACCCTTCACTCATACTCCACCTCCATGGTATCTGTGTCCATTGATGAGGCTCATATGTATGCCCACAAATCTCTTGGTTGATTTCTCCCCCTTACTCCCAGCGATCCCCTCCTTCCCTGGGGTTTGAGGTTCTGATCAATGTTACTCAGTCTCTGGGTCTGTTCTTATTCATCAGTCTATGCCATTCACTATATTCCATAACTGAGTGAGATCATGTGATGTTTATCTTTCTCTGCCTGGCTTATTTCACTAAGCAAAATGGTCTCCATCTCCATCCATGTTGCTGCAAAGGATTGGAACTCTTTCTTTTTTTACTGAAGCATAATATTCCATTGAGTAGATGTACCACAGTTTTTTAATCCATTCATCTGCTGATGGACATTTAGGCTGTTTCCAAATTTTAGCTATGGTAAATTGAGCTGCTATGAACATAGGGGTGCATATATCTTTTCTAATTTGTGTTTCTAGTTTCTTGGAATATATTCCTAGAAGTGGGATCATTGGGTCAAATGGGAGTTCCATTTTTAGTTTTTTAAGGAAACTCCATACTGTTCTCCACAGTGGCTGCACCAGTCTGCATTCCCACCAGCAGTGTAAAAAAGTTCCTTTTTCTCCACATCCTCACCAACACTTGTTGTTTGCTAATTTGTTGATGATAGCCATTCTGACTGGAGTAAGATGGTACCACATTGTTGTTTTGATTTGCATCTCTCTGATGATTAATGACTTTGAGCATGTTTTCATATGTCTCTTGGCCTTCTTTCTATCTTCTTTCAAAAAGTGTCTATTTAGCTCAGTTGCCCATTTTTTTATTGGGTTGTTTATCTTCTTTTTGTTGAGTTGTATGAGTTCTCTATAAATTTTTGAGATTAAACCTTTATCATTGATATCGTTAGCAAATATGTTCTCCCATGTAGTGGGGTTTCTTGTTGTTTTATTGATGGTTTCCTTTGCTGTGAAAAAGCTTTTTATTTTGATGTAGTCCCAAATAAACCATTTGTTTATTTTCTTTTTAGCTTCCATTGCCCTAGGAGCAGTATCAGTGAAGAAGTTCTTTCGGCATGTGTCTGAGATTTTCCTACCTGTGAATTTCTCCAGTATTTTTATGGTTTCCCGTCTTATGTTTAAGTCCTGTATCCACTTTGAGTTTATTTTTGTGTATGGTGTAAGTTGGATGTCTAGTTTCATTTTTTTATATGTATTTGTCCAATTTTCCCAGCACCATTTGTTGAATAGACTGTCTTGACTCCATTGTATGTTCATGCCTCCTTTGTCAAATACTGTGTTTCCCCCAAAATAAGACATCCTCCGAAAATAAGACCTAGGGCATGGAAAGATAAGAAATCCCCTGAAAATAAGAAATTGCGCAACTTTGGGAGAAAAAATTAATATAAGACACTGTCTTATTTTCAGGGAAACAGGGTATTAATTGAGCGTAGTGGTTTGGGTCGATATCTGGGTTCTCTATTCTATTCCATTGGTCTGTATGTCTGTTCTTGTGCTAGTACCAGGCTGTTTTGAGAACAGTGGCTTTGTAATACAGCTTGAAATCTGGTATTGAGATACCTCCTACTTTATTCTTCTTTCTCAGAATTGCTGTGGCTATTTGGGGTCTTTTTTTAATTCCAGATGAATTTTTGGAGTGCTCTTTCTAGGTCTGTGAAGTATGCTGTTGATATTTTAATGGGGAGTGCATTAAATCTATAGATTGCTTTGGGTAGTATGGACATTTTAATGATGTTGTTTCTACCAATCCATGATCATGGTATGTTCTTCCATCTGTTTACATCTTCCTCTATCTCTTTTCTCAGTGTCATGTAGTTTTCTGCGTATAGGTCTTTTACCTCCTTAGTTAAGTTTATTCCTAGGTATTTTAATTTTTTTGGTGCGATGGTAAATGGGATTGCTTTTTTAGTGTCTGTTTCTGTAAGTTCATTATTGGTTTATAGAAATGCCATAGATTTCTTGGCATTAATTTTGTATCCTGCTACCTTGCCGAATTTATTTATTAAGTCTAATAATTTTTTGAGGGAGTCTTTAGGGTTTTCTATGTACAGTATCATGTCATCTGCGAATAAGGACAGTTTTACTACTTTTCCAATTTGGATGCCTTTTATTTCTTCTTCTTGTCTGATCGCGATGGCTAGTACTTCCAGCACTATATTGAACAGGAGTGGTGAGAGTGGGTATCCCTGTCTTGTTCCTGTTCTTAGAGGGAATGGTCTTAGTTTTTGCCCATTGAGTATGATGTTGGCTGTGGGTTTGTCATATATGGCTTTTATTATGTTGAGGTATGGTCCTTCTATTCCTACCTTGCTGAGGGTTTTTATCAAGAAAGGATGTTGGATTGCAAGTGCTTTGTTTTAAGGCCAGTCCTGGGTGGCTGGTCTTGGATGATTCCAGGATGATTGCTCATACCTTCTAGACCAGCAGTCACCAACCAGTGGTCTGTGGACCACTGATGGTCCTTGAGGTCAAAAAGGTTGGTGACCACTGCCCAGATGTTGCCCATCTATGCTGTCTGCACACTCCAGAGGGGCCTCTACCAAGCCAGGTGGGAGGCTTGAGAGTGGCTCTTATCTCCTCATATTGCTTACCTCTCAGAGGCTTTGCTTCCCTCCCTCAGGAAGCACTTGCAGTTGCTTTGAGGGCTTATAAAAAATGATGCAGGTAAGCCCCATCTGTTCTCAGTTCATTGCATTGAGTGGTAACTCATTGGTATCTGAAATTGCCCCATTAACACTTCATGTTTTTGAAGATATAACTACCCCAATCTCATGTTAGAATGAAAACTTCTGTGTACAAAAGACTCCATATGAGCCTAACCAGTGGTCAAGGACAACAGAGGGGTGGGGGCATGCGTGGGGAGGGGTTTGAGATGGGAATGGGGGGATGAGGACAAATATGTGATACCTCAATCAATAAAGAAATTTAAACAACAACAAAAAAGAATGAAAATCTCTGATGGCCTGGCATTTTCTAATGCTAGGATATAGGTTAAAGGGTGCTTCCAGAAGCCAGATCAGAATTTTAGGACTGAGTGTTGAAGCTCTACCCCTCACTGCACATTGGGGAAAATGAGTCCCAGAGCAGGGAGGGCATGTGCCTGATGTCACACAGCATCTGTGACAAAGCCGGGACTGGAACCTGGGACTTCCCTGCTCTCTGGCCACAGTCTGGGGGGCATGTTTGTCTGCTAGCCTGCCTCAGCATCAGCTGTCCCTCAGAGAGGATGGAGCAGCCTGGCCTGAGCCCAGGGTAGTTCTGGGTGAACTGTTACTACCACTAAAATAGCCCTGTACTTCTCTATGATACCATTGTTTGCTTTGTTTTTCAGCCTGACTCTTACTGGGGGCATAGGGATACAGGTAGAAAGCCTGTTGTTAGGGAGCTCCTGAAGGGGCAGGAAGATGGTACCTTTAGTGAAAGAAGAACCTCTTTCCCTGCCAGTGTCCATGTCTTGCCCTGGCTCCCATAAGACTACCTTCCGCAGTGTCATAGAGCCTCTCGAGACTTCTCTCCTACACTTACTCTCCCTCAGAATTTCTCTCAGTTTGTAACTCATTCTCTTCATCCTTCTGGCAACTGATCCCTTTGTCTCTGGGCAGATTCTACTGGGACTTGACCATGTTGCTGCTGATGGTGGGGAACCTGATCATCATCCCTGTGGGCATCACATTCTTCAAGGATGAGAACACCACACCCTGGATTGTCTTCAATGTGGTATCAGACACATTCTTTCTCATCGACTTGGTCCTCAACTTCCGCACAGGTATTGTGGTGGAAGACAACACAGAGATCATCCTGGACCCACAGCGGATTAAGATGAAGTACCTCAAAAGCTGGTTTGTGGTGGATTTCATCTCTTCCATCCCTGTAGACTACATCTTCCTCATTGTGGAGACACGCATTGATTCAGAGGTCTATAAGACAGCCCGGGCCCTGCGCATCGTCCGCTTTACCAAGATCCTCAGTCTCCTGCGCCTCCTGCGTCTCTCCCGCCTCATTAGATACATTCACCAGTGGGAAGAGGTGGGTTCTTAGACGCAGATCTCTTGGGGGAAGATTGTCTTCCCCCACAGGATCTGAGGGTCCAGAAGATAATCTCAAGATAGTTGAAAGTGAGCTGTCAGAGTTTAGCAGGCACACCTGCACAGGGGGACAAATATTAGTAATTCCTTGAATATCATGAGCTAGATATTGGGCAAATCACTTTATAGGCAATATCCCATTTAAGTCTCTAATATCCATAAAGGATAGTATATAGGTACACCCAGGAACCATGTTTTAATGAGGAAACTGAGAGATAGAAAGATTAAGGGATTTACTAAGGTCACAGAATCAGTAATTCATGAACCCAGTCTCCAGAGCATGCATTGGTAACCACTGCACTATATTATAAAGGTTGCAAACTCATAATCCTATAGGGGCCAAACAGGGAATGTGAATGGTGAAATGGGCCAGTTGGAAAGCATTAGGGAATAAAGTAGACTGGGAAAAATTGGAGAACATCTTCTGTCTAGCTCTAGCCACTTGTTACCAAGTGGGAATGGCCTCGGGTTGCCAGATCTATATCATGAGAAACAGGAATCCAGATTTTTGTTGGCAACTATTTTAGGTTGGGTCCTTCTGGAGCAGACCCTGAGATAAGGATTTGCATGAAAGTGATTTTTTTAGTGGGAATTGTTTCCAAGAAGATATAGTAAGGAACTGGGGAAGAGAGAAAGGGAAAGGAAGGAAGGAAGCTAAGCAAGGGTATATACCATGAAGGGTTACTTGGGCCCCATCCCATGGGGACCTTTTGGGATAGTGTATACCATGCCTCAGATCTGTTAAAAGTTTATTGTTGTTATTAATCCTCACCCAAGGACATTTGTTTCATTAATTTTGTTGTTATTGTTAATCCTCACTAGAGAATATTTTGACTTTAGAGAGAGTAAAAAGGAAGGGGGAGAGAGAGAAACATGGATGTGAGAGAGACACATTGATTGGTTGCCTCCTGCTCATGCCTGCAATCAAGTTATATGCCCTTGACCAGAATTGAACCTGGGATCCTTCAGTCTGTGGATTAACACTCTACCCATTGAGCCTAATCAGCTGGGGCTCCATTGATTTTTTTTTTTTTTTTAAGAGAAAGTGGAATGTCGCCGAAGCTGGTTTGGCTCAGCAGATAGAGCGTCGGCCTGCGGACTGAAGGTCCCAAGTTTGATCCCGGTCAAGGGCATATACCTTGGTTGCGGGCACATCCCCAATAAGGGGTGGGCAAGAGGCAGCTGATTGATGACACATCTATCGGCTGTCTTTCTGCATGTGCCCTGACCAGAAATGTCAGGGGCTGGGGATCGAACCTGCAACCCAGGCAGGTGCCCTTGACTGGGAATCAAACCCACAACCCTTCAGTGTGCAGGCTGATGCACTGAGAAAGGTGGTTGGAATTTTTATATCCCCTTATCTGCCAACCATTCGTTCAGAGGACTTTCCACCCTCAGTGCTAGCAGCAGGCAAAGTAGTTTCCAGCAGCCTGGTTCTGAAGCAGGAATGGGGACCATATGGTCCATGGGCCCTATAAGGACCGCAAAATCAATTGGTCTGGCCTTGACAAGGCAATATTGGTGAGTTAATTAAATGTTTGACTAAATATAGCAGGCTAATTTTTTAAATAAGCTAATTTTTAAGTTGATAATTCTATATGGCCTGGGAATTATGCTATAAATATCCAAGGCCCTTGGCAGAAAAATTATTCCCACCTCTGCTCTAGAGAGTTAAAGCACCAGGAGTCTAGAGTTGTGGATGCACAAAAGGTGGAGCACAGATTACAGAAACTAAATAATAAATCATAAGGAAAACAGGTAAACCAACACCATTCTGAACAAAATTTACTACTCTGTGAGCTGAATGCAGTTGTCTGGGATGGGGGAAAGAGAGGGGACTACCAGCTGGGGTTTGAAACAACAGATGATCTTGCCAGGTGTTTCCATCTGTATCTGCTACCACCCAAGTTGCATCTCTTGGTAGCAGCGATAGTCAGGTCAGCCTGGATGTATTGGGGTTGGAGAGAAGTGCTCTTTGAGACATCCCACCCGGGGGTCCTAAAGTGTCTGCAGATGTGCGTTTCCTGCCTCAGCTTACTTCTGATATTGCTCTCTTACTCTCCAGGACCTTTGCTCAACTAGGATATTTCCCAGATACAGGATACAAAGTTCCCAGGCACAGGACAGGAAGCAACTACCCCAGCCAGGAGCACCCATGCTGATGGTTGGTGCACTGGCAACTTGTCATGAGCACCTATGCCACAGAAGTGCCTATACCAGTCTATCGGAATTACTCTATGCAGAAATTCTTTTGCTTCAAAAATTTGCATTCTTTCTACTGACAGAGAAGTGGCAATGACTTGCCAATGGTCATGCAGCAGATACTTGGCAGAGCGAGATGAGAACCCACTTAGTGTTCTTGGTTCCCAGCAATCTGCAGTCCCTGTATGGTATAGGGCAATGTTTGAGGGCTTTGGAACTAAAATGACACAGTGGAGATTTGAGTTAAAATGCTGGCCCCACACTGCCTACCTGTGTGACCTTAGTGCTATCTTGCCTCTTTGAGTCTCAGTCTCTTATCAGCAAAGTGGATATAAGTAGTACTTTCCTCTTTGGATTATTGGGAGGATTAAATGAAATGATGTTTGTAAAACCCTTTATGTAAAGCCTGGTGCCAAGAATCACTTAATAAAGGCTCTCACCCTGGTTGGATAGGTCAGTTGGTTGGAGCAATACCACACACCAAAAAGGTTGTGGGTTTGATTCCTGATCAGAGCACATACCTAGGTGGTAGGTTCAGTCTTTGATCCAACTGCCTGTGGCAGGAAGCTGATTGATGTTTCTCTCTTTCAAATAAAAACATACCCTCACCTGAGGATTAAAATAAAAATAAAGGCCCTTTCCTACCAGTTATCTTAGTACTTCTCTAGGGCATTTCTTTTTCTCAAATACTTTTTACCCATTATTTCACTGGTTCTCAGCTGGCTAGACAAACAGGGCAATGTTTATTACCCTGACTTGTCAGGTGAGGAAACTGAGGATCAGCTGCCCCACTAGCAGGGTTGTTGACCTAGACCTCCTGACCAGGTTCCATGTGACTCCTGTTTTCTCAGGTGACCTAAAAGAAGGTTGACTTTGATTCTGTTGTTCCCTTTGTTAGGGACAGCTTTCAACTAGGATTAGGAATGTAGGCAGTAGAGAAAGTTAAAGGATGTGGGTGAAGGATTACCATGTGATAAGTTGGGTCTAAGATAGCTGGGGGACATCTAGGTACAGAGGGAGGTTGGCATGTGGGTCTGAGCACATGGCTTAGAAGGGCCAGTGGCTATGGTGATGGTGTTAGGGTTGTAGGGCCACTCTGAGAGGCTGCAGAGGAAGGATGAAGGTGTAGTTACTGAAACACCCTGAGAGGCATGTTTCGGTTTCTGTCCCAAGTAGAAATGCAGGACCATATTGACTCAGTCCCTGAGAAACCCAACCTCTGTTTATCTTGAACTCACTGCTAGACTGTCATCGAATGCAAAGAAGTGGCTGCTTTTTCCTTCTTTGGCATCAGCTCATGACTCCAGGCCCCAGTCCCTGGTGGCTAGCCTTGTTTCCCCTAGGCCCAGACCTGGGGCTACAGCATTTGGGGGAGTGGGCAGGGTAGCCCTGAGACAAAGATAAGTGCCTCTTCCTCACAATACATCTTGGGAACTCAGGGCAGGGCTTCTGTCCCCATTGCTCCTTGGGCCTGGCTGCCCTCTGGGTGACCCAGAACTGGTCCAGCAAGCTCTGGCTCTGGAGTTTCCCTAGGATAGTTAGAGGCCCTAGAAGACCTCAGATTAGGGCTCTAAACTGTATATCACTACCCAGTCTCATGGGCAGGAAGGGAGATCCCTGGAGACCAGATGGATGACTCCCCACCCCTCCACACGGCACCCTTATTTTGCCTACCAGCTGGGGAGTAAATTGTTTTATGTAGTTTCTGCTAGGCACACTGACCATCCAAGAACAACCACTAGACCCCTTGGATTGGATTGGAGCTTCTAAGTAGCCCCAAGAACCCTATATCCAATCCTTAATGGCCTACTCCAGCCCCTGGATTTCTCTTAGTCTCCACTTGGCTGGAAGCAGTAGAAGGGTGACTTTTGAGTCACCGGTTTGCATGAGACCTGGTGAGGGAGGTATTTAATAGAGAAAACCCTGCCCTATCTCCTTCAACTTCCTATGTGAATCTCTTTCCTTCTTTGGACCTGTTTCCTGACTGTCAGTTATGATCTGGTGTTCTCAAAGGCTGGGGCTTAGTCCCTATCCCAGCCTCCCTTAGTGAGATCACCTTAGCTGATCCTGAGGACATTGTTACGACTTCAGGGGGACTGAGGAGAGAGCCTCCCATGGTGAGGGAAAAGCTTGCCTGAGGCCCCACTGGTGAAGCTCCAGAGATGTTAGACTCCTGACCCACAGCTTTAGTTGTCGCTCCTAGCCCAGCCCAGTGCCCCAGACAGAGAGTTTCTGAACATTAGTGGCAGGTGTTAGGAGTTGGGGTACATGGAAGGTCTTGGCAGGTGCAGGCTGCCATCTCGTAGGATGACACCTCCTGCTTCCATCCTAGCCAATCTAGGTCAGCATCCCCCTTCTCAGCCAACCCTTTTTCCTCCCTCTGAGGTGTGAGCTTGTTATAGGCACTGAGGCTATTGTTAGAAACCCTTTGGTCTCTTCCCCTTTGGATGTTTGTTGAAAGGGCCCAGGACCCCAGTATCCCATTTCAGAAGCCTCTTCCTTCCTTTGGCAGCTTAGATCAGTGGGTGGGAGGATGGAGGCAAAAGGCCAGGCCCTGGTGGCTGTGTGACTTCCTAATGAGCCTCCCCTCTATGTGGGCCTTGATTTCTCCCATCTCTCTCAGAATCGAAGTTTGGGATAACACAGAGGGGTGGTCCTGGCCCTCACTATAGGCCCTGAAAGGGACTCAGCATGGCACCTCAGTTCAGATATCTCCAGGCTGTGCCTGTGATATACTTG